CGGGTCTCGAACCCGCGGACTCAGGCCATCCACTCACCTCAGCCTCCCAAGGCGCGGGATGACAGGCTGAGCCACCGAGCCCGGCTGAGAAGTGTTTTCATGAGATCATTTTCTTTATTACATTTATGTTATTGTCATTAATAGAGTGATACAGAGAGGCCCACAGCTATTTATTTTACATTATGTATAGACCCACTGATCAGCTGAAAGCGTAGTATGTTCCCTGGAAAGAGCTTCGAGATGGGTTTTTCCAATATGTCCAACTCATAATTCTGTGAGTCGTGAGTTACACATCAAGCAGTCTAGGGACAGGGCTGCATCTTTTTTTTTTCCTTTGAGTCAGAATCTCACTCTGTCACCCAGGCTGGAGCACAGTGGCACGCTCACAGCCACCGGAGCCTCGATTATAGACATGAGCCATAGTGCCTGGCTTTATGTGTTCTTTCTTAGACACACTCGCCAGCTTCTCCTACTTTATTGTGCGTTAGAATTCACATGTCATTCAAAATATAAATTCACATTTTTTTTTTTTTTTAACTTTAGGAGCAAAATAACGATTTCCCACAGTAGCTCTGAGTACCCAACACTTTGTGAGGCAACTTTGGAACATAACTGTTATACACAGTGGTACTCCACGGTCACATATATTTTTTTTCTTTTTATCAGGTCGACTAGAAGATCAATATATCATTAGATTTATGAAAGAGAAGCTAAGATCAATGCCTTGCAGGAATCAAGGTTACGTTTTGGATGGATTCCCGAAGACCTATGATCAAGCCAAAGACCTGTTCACTCGTAAGTTGGAGCGTTCCTTTGATTTTGAGTATTTATATTTAGAGAACTTGCAACTCTATTGTTCGGAGAAATAGTCACTCAATTAAAACGAAAGATTGGAGAGACTATTTGTTCATGTATTTTCTTTTTTTTTAAAGTTGCTCAGGCTGGAGGGCGGTGGCACGCTCCCGGCCACCGCAGCCTCGACCTGCTGGGCTCCGGCGATCCTTCCGCCTCAGCCTTCCGAGTAGCTGGAACTACAGGCATGCACCACCACGCCCGGCTGATTTTTTGATGTATTGTAGAGATGAGGTCTCGCCAAGTTGCCCAGGCTGGTCTTGAATCCATGAGCTCAGGCAATCCTCTCACCTCGGCCTCCCAAAGTGCTGGGATTATAGGCGTGAGCCACCACGCCTGTTTATGTATTTTCAAGTCTTCCCTTTCATTAGATGTAGCCTTTTCCATGCCAGCCCATAAAATCTTATTACCTGCATCCACTCGAAAGCAGCTCTTTTGAGGCTGGATGCAGTGGCTCGTACCTATCATCTCAGCCCTCAGAGAGGCCAAGGGAAGAGGATTGCTTCAGCTCAGGAGCTGGAGACCAGCCAGGGCAACACAGCAAGCGCTCGTCTCTGCAAAAACAAAAAGGAAATAAAAAAATGTAGCCAGGAGTGGTGGCACACATCTCTAGTCCCAGCTTGTCGGGAGACCGAAGTGGAAGGACTGCCTGAGCCCAGGAGGCCGAGGCTGCAGTGAGCCATGACTGTGCCACTGCAATCCAGCCTGACAGATTGAGACCCTGACTCAAAACAAAAAACTTGATGCCCGTTGCCTAGTGACACTCCTTTTCTCTGCCTCCTGGCCATCACCATCCCACTCGTGCATTCTGAGGATCTGACGACCCTAAGTGCCTCGTCTGAGTGGGGTCCCGCAGTATTTGTCTTCCTATGACAGACTCGTTGTGCACAGCCTAATGTCGACGAGGCTTACCCTTGTTGCACGTGACAGCATTTTCTTCTTTTTTAAGGCCGTATAGTTTTCCGTTAGATGTCTCCACCATGCTTTCTTTATCCAGGCAACTGTCAACAGACATTTCTAAAATACATGTTCTGTTTTACAGCTGGTTTTCCCTAGTGATTCCTACCTATATTTGATTTTTGGGGGGTTGCACTGCACAGTCATAATATGTTAATGAACACTATGGTGACTGTTTTGTTTTATTAGACGAAGATGAGGAGGAGGAAGAAGAAATCAGAGGCAAAATGTTTCCCTTTGATAAGTTAATTATACCTGGTAAGTTTAAGATATTTCTCCAAGATCACATTTATTATTTATTTATTTATGTTGTGTCGGAATCTCACTGCCACCCAGACTGGAGGGCAGCGACACGCTCACGGCCACCGCAGCCTCAACCTGCTGGGCTCAGGCGATCCCTCCGAGTCAGCCTTCCCTGTCGCCGGAACCACGGGCGCGCACCACCATGCCCGGCTAATTTTTTGATTTATTGTAGACGAGGTCTGGCCAAGTGGCCCAGGCTGCTCTCGAACCCCTAGACTCAGGCGATCCTCTCACCTCTACCTCCCAAAGTGTTGGGTTCACAGGCGTGAGCCACCGCTCTGGCTCAAGATCACATATAAAGGAATGCTGTTTGATATCTGTTTTGGAGTTTAGTGAAGTACGCTTTTCTTTTTTTAGGAAAAAAGCAAAAGATACACTCACGCACAAACTTGCAAACGAGAGAACACACTGGGGGTAAACACCACGGATATGCAAGTTCGGAAATGAATAGAAATCCCTGGGAGGACTTCTCCGTTTCCACTGCCCTCTCCTGCGACAAAGCAAAGGATAGCGGATCTGTGGAGGCCAGGCCTAGGGTCCCCACAGCTCCTTACCCTAGAGAGAGAGGCTGGGATTGTTGCTAGCCGTGCCAGCCTCTCTTCCAGAAGACCCTTGGAGCCTGGGTTGAGAATTTCAGTCCACAGCTGTCTCCAGGAAGTTGTAGTCCGTGGCATATTTACACAGAGGTTTCCCACAGTACTTCCTGCAAGGAGAGCATAGACAACTTGTCCCATGCAGCAAGATCTACTTAGCACCGAGCAGGCGTTTCTTGGGACCTTGCTGTGAACTTTACAGAGTGTTTTTCATCAGTTTGCGTGGGGTGTCTCATAGGAAGCCATTCTGGGTCTTATGGTCAACACAGAACAGTTATTTTCAGCAACTCCGTGCAAGCCTGTAACTAAAAAGGGCTGACTCACTGATATCGAGTCCCAGGGAGTCAGTTCACGGCCGCTATCACTTCCTCCCTTGGTCCAGGTGCAGCTTGCGGAGAAGCTTCTGGAAACCTAAGACCACCAGATCGTAGCCACCCTCGAGGGTGAATCTTTTTTTTTTTTTTTTTTTTGAGTCAGAGTGTCACTCTGTCATCCGGGCTGGAGTGCAGGGGCACGCTGCTCCCGGCCACCACAGTCTCGACCTACCAGGCTCAGGCGATCCTTCCGCCTCATCCTTCCAAGTAGCTGAGGCTGCAGGAGTGCGCCACCACGCCCGGCTAATTTTTTGATTTATTGTAGAGACGAGGTCTCACCAAGTTGCCTAGGCTGGTCTCAAACCCATGGGCTCAGGCAATCCTCCCGCCTCAGCCTCCTGGGATTATAGGCATGAGCCACTGGGTAGCCCTCCCTTAATTATGCGACGCAAACATGTTGAAGACCTCATCTACCTGGAATGTTTAGTCTGTTGTTAGTATAATACCCTGTTCCCAAGAATTGCCTTTATTGTCTATCTTCCTGAAAGAAATGAGGGTGCTGTCTTATATGTACCTGTGGGATTTTAGCTGATACAAAGAACTGAGTGACACCATGGAAAGAGGCATGCCATTGGAAGAATGCGTCACTTAAATTTCCTGAGAGAAGGGAGCATCTCATGGGGCGTGCCAGGTTGGTTGGAAGGCAGAAGCAGGAAAGAGGGGAAGGTCTAGGTCAAGGCCTTTACTGGGTTTCTGTGGGAAAGGCAAGGCAGGCCAGAGTAAACAGCTTAGCACGGGCTGGTTTGAACTATAAGGGTGGTCCCCTGTGGCCTGGTTGTGGGATAATTTAGGGCAAGGGCGACACTGGCTCAGTGTGTGACATTTAGAGAATGGTAGCTTGCATAGGAGAGGGGTCCTCCCAGGTAAGCTGTGTACTGGTTTCAGGTACAGCCTAGTTCTGGGAGGGACAGTCTCTCACAGGTCTGTAAGGATCCTTCCAGGTGTCAAAGCATCAGAAGACACAGAAAAAAAAAACAGCAACATAATTAATACAGGTGTCCATGCTTGACTCGAGTGATGAAAGCTTCCCATTCCCGGTGGTAATTCTCTCTCATTGATCAACCGTTGTATTTTACCACTGATGTGAGTCTATGCCAGTCTGGTTCTTTCCAGATCTTCTAGTCGAAGGAGACAAGTTCAAAGTTGTACCTACCTGAAGAATTTGAAAAAAATCTGTTACAGCGTAGATTTTCACATGACTCTGGATAGCCACATACAGTGACTTCCTGACCAAGTACAATCTTACCAAGCAGAAATCTGTTACTAGCTATCCAGTTAGCTTGTAAATTGGGACAGTAGATGTTCTGAAAAATTATTCCAAGATGTTTCAAAATCCTGAAGTTCTTGCTGAATTGTAACGAGAATGAAGGGACATTTAAAAAAAAAAAATCATCTAATGGGAAGTATATTTTATCATATTAAAATTATTTGAAAATTAGAAAGCCAAGGATGTTACTCATTATTTGCAATGTTTGATTAACTGGAATCTTCTATCTCCCAATCGCTCTGGGGAAAAAAATAATAAATTTCGAAATTCTTAGATTATTAACAGAATTGATGTGTTTTCTCGCAAATAAGCGTCAAGTTAAGGATAACATTTTTTAAAGAAGTTAGTAAGTCTTCATTTAAATGTCTGATGCCACAGGGCTTAAATGGATTCAATTTCCTGTAAATTTACGGACATAATTTTGACTTCAGGACTATACCAGCATTTGGGTGTTCAGCTGTCTCCCTTCCTCTCCAAAATGTAGATGCTCATGAAAATCAAATCTTACAGTCTTACCAAGCAGAAATCTGTTGCTTGATATCCACAGTTAGCCCACACCAGGACAGTCGGTGTTCTGAAAAATTATCCTGCGATGCTTCAAAATCCTAAAGTTCTTGCTAAATCATAAAAAGAATGAATGAACATTTTAAAAAAATCATCTAGTGGGAAGTAGATTTTGTCATACTAAAATTCTTTGAAAATTAGAGAATTAGGAAATTAGAAAGATGAACAAAACAGGTGGAAATAGCGGTAGTTGGCCGGGCGCGATGGCTCACTTCTGCAACCCTAGCACTTTGGGAGGCCAAGGTAGGAGAATTGGTTGAGCCCAGGAGTTCAAGACCAGCCCGGACAACATAGCGAGATCCTTTTCTCTACAGGAAAAAGAAAGAAAGAGAGAGAGAGGGAGAGAAAGGAAGACAGGAAGGAAGGAAGGAAGGGAGGGAGGGAGAGAAAAAAAGAAAGAGAGAAAGAAAAAATTAGTGGGGTGTGGTGGTGCATGCTTGTAGTTCCATCTGCCTGGGAGGCTGAGGCAGGAGGATCACCTAAACCTAGAAAGTCAAGGCTGTGGTGAGCCATGGCTATGCCACTGCACTCCAGTCTGGGTAACAGACTGAGATCCCAAATAAAATAATAATAACAATAATAGTGTTGGGCACGGTGGTTCACTCCTATCATCCCAGCACTTTGGGAAGCAAAGGCAAGAGGATTGCCTGAGCCCAGGGGCTCGAGGCCAACCTGGGCAATTTGGCAAGACCTCATCTCTACAATAAGCCAAAAACGAATTAGCCAGGTGTGGTGGCACTTGCTTGTGGTTCTAGCTACTTGGGAGGGTGAGTCGGAAGGATCTCCTGAGTCCAGCAGGTTGAGACTGTGGTGGCCATGAGTGTGCCACTGCACTCCAGCCTGGGAGACAGAGTAAAATTCCGACCAAAAAGCCTCAAAAAACAAAAAAAAATTAGCCAGGAGTGGTGGCGTGCACCTGAGATTCCAGCTACTCGGGAGGCTGAGGCAGAAGGATCACCTGAGCCCGGGAGATTGAGGCTGCGGTGGCCGTGAGCATGCCACTGCACTCCAGCCTGGGTGACAGACTGAGACTTTAATGCAAAAATAATAATAATAATAATAATAATAATAATCATAGTAGCATAATCCGAATTTTAAGAATTTATAGAATCTTATTGTACAAACCCAGTCCTCAACACACATGGCAGGCCATGCTCACGCGTGTTCTACACGCCTCATGGACACACCCTCCTGTGGGCTCTTCCCAGTATACTTATCTTTCTCACCCACTCAAGAAAGTTCAAGTCAATGATCAAGAATGCAAGTCAATGAGAATGGCGTTATTATGTGATGAACCAGTACAATTTTCGAATAAAAAAATCGTCCCTAGGTTCTGTCGGGCTGATAGGTAGTAAGCTATTTGCGATGTTCTTGGCCGCTGGTCCAGGCACAGCGCATGCTGGTCCTGTGGTGGGGAGCACCCGAGAACAGCAACGATATTGGCAAATTTCTTTCACTCTTGAATCTCTCATTCACTCAACAAACATCACTGGGTTTGTACCAGAAACTGGAGAAACAGCTGCTTTCAGAGGTTAAAAGAAACCACAGGCCGGACTCAGTGGCTCAGTCTGTCATCCCAGCACTTTGGGAGGCCAAGGTGAGTGGATGGCCTGAGCCCACAGGTTCGAGACCAGCCCGGGCAACTTGGCGAGACCTCATCTCTACAATAAAATAAAAAATTAGCCAGGCATGGTAGCGTGCACCTGTAGTTCCGGCTACTTGGAAGGCTGAGGCGGAAGGATCGTCGGAGCCTAGCAGGTGGACACTGGGGTGGCCGTGAACGTGCCACTGCACTATGTCCTGGGCGACGGAGTGAGACGCCAACTCAAAAAAAAAAAAGAAATCCCAGGTGGGTAAAATGATCATCATCATGAATGTGATCCACGTTATCAGATCTCATAAGTGTGGACCATGTTGTCCAGTGTCACTGAGGAAGGAGCTGGATCCATGAAAACTGGATTCCAAGGCCAATCCTGTTTGTATGAAACCGGCAAGTCGGCCATCAAGGCATTTTGCTCATTGTCATGGCTCTCTTTGGGAGCCTGTGATGCTTGTGCTGGAAAAGGGGCAATATAAGGGTTGACCAGGAAGCCGAGGGCATCACGGGACTGTCAGAGATTTGCTCTTTATGACTTCTGCTGCTCTTAATAGTAGGAAGGGAGGGAGGGGGGAGGGAAGGAAAGAAGAAACATAGATGGCACCAAATACTGATGGGTTGGGCCTCATAGGGTGGTCTCGGGAAACAGGGCATGCATGTATTCGTCCCCCATGCGAGGCCAAGAGGCCCAAGGGACAGGCCATGTGTGGCAGCGGAGGTCCTGGCCGGCCCTGGCGTTGGGTTGGGAGCGCCAGCCTTCACCGCGCCCTGCAAGCTGGCATCACCGTGTTGTGCCAACTTGGCCCTTCTCCTCCCCAGAATTTGTGTGTGCTCTGGACGCTTCCGATGAGTTTCTGAAGGAGCGGGTGATCAACCTTCCTGAGAGCTTCGTGGCGGGGACCCACTACAGCCAGGACCGATTCCTCCGGGCTCTGAGCAACTATCGGGACATCAATACCGAAGATGAGACGGTCCTCAACTATTTTGACGAAATCGAAGTCCACCCGATCCATATTGGTACGAGAGGAATTCGAGGGTACTGTCAGCGTTGAGAGCCAGGCCCCGACGCCAATCCTGGCGCGTGTCTGCCTGAGACTGAGGGCCGGGAAATGGGGGTGTGTGACCACGGGGAGTGTGACCGTGGGGGTGTGTGACCATGGGGGTGACCGCAGGGGTAACCGTGGGGACATGTGGCCGTGGGACCGTGGGGGGTTGTGATATGGGGGAATTGTGACCACGGGAGACGTGTGACTGTGGGGAGTATGACCATGGGGGCGTGTAGCCGTGGGAGCGTGTGACCCAGGGATAACTGTGGGGGTGTGTGACTGTGGGGGGAGGTGTGACCTTGGGGGGTGTTTGAGCATTGGGCATAGGAAACCACAGTATAAACAGGGCACTCAGGTCAGGCATGGTAGCGCATGCCTATAATCCCAGCATTTTGGGAGGCCGAGGTGAGAGGATTGCCTGAGCCCCACGGGTTCGAGACCAGCCTGGGCAACTTGGCGAGACCTCATCTCTACAATAAATCAAAAAATTAGCCGGGCATGGTGGTGCCTGTAGTTCCAACTACTTGGAAGGCTGAGGTGGAAGGATCACCTGAGCTCAACAGGTTGAGGCTACGGTGGCCGTGAGCAGCGTGCCACTGCACTCCAGCCTGGGCGACAGAATGAGATTCTGACTCAAAAAACAAAAACAAAAACAGGACACTCCTCCTGGGGAGTCATTTTACATAAGGATTTGGTGGGGGGGCTTATTATATAAAAAATATGAGTCTATTATGAAGTCAAATGGCACATTGGCATTTTATTTATTTATCTATCTGTTTTTTTATTTTGGAGTCAGAGCCTCACTCTGTCGCCCAGGCAGGAGTGCAGTGGCATGCTCCTGGTCACCGCAGCCTCAACCTGCTGGGCTCAGGTGGTCCTTCTGCCTCAGCCTTCCAAGTAGCTGGAACCACAGGTGTGTGCCACCACTCACTTTTGGCTATTTTTTTTTTTTTTTGAGTCAGAGGTCTTGCCATGCTGCTCACGCTTGTCTCAAACCCCTAGGCTCAGGCAATCCTCTTGCCTCCACCCAAATGGCTCGGATTTACTTTTTTTATTTTTATTTTTATTTTATTTTTGATTTTTGAGTTGGAGTCTCACTCTGTCGCCCAGACTGGAGTGCAGTGACATGCTCACGGCCACCACAACCGTGACCTACTGGGCTCCGGCGATCGTTCCGCCTCGGCCTTCCAAGTAGCCGGAACTACAGGCGTGCGCCACCATGCCCGGCTAATTTTTTGATTTATTGTAGATATAAGGCTTCACCAAGTTGCCCATGCTGGTGTCGAACCTGTGGACCCAGGCAATCCTCTCACCTTGGCCTCCCAAAGTGCTGGGATTACAGGCGTGAGCCACCGCGCCCAGCACATTGACATTCATTTTAAAGGACACTTCAAACCACTGTGGGTTTGCTCCTGACCGCTTTGGGCCATTCCCTCAGGTGCCTTGGGGACAGCGTTCCTTCCCCGTGGCATTGCCAGGCACTGGCGCTCTCCAGGAGACCCTCCTGGCTGTTAGATGGGGAAGCCCCAGAGTCACCCCAAGAAGCAAATGCTCCGGACTGCATTCCTCCTTGTTGCCTTTGAAGATGACTCAGAGCCAGCACATGGCAAGCTCTCCGTCAACGTGACCTTGACACAACCTCACTGGTATCAGGACTGTTCCCCGCCCCAGATCTCAGCTCTCATAGCTGTCTGTGCTGCCTGGGCTTGGAAAGCCTCTGAACTTCCTTTCTGGGTTTCTGGATCTTGATGCCAACTCCTCCTCAGGGCTTGGGGAAAATTAACCAGCCCCTGTCTGGCCGAAGCTTCCTAGCCAGGCCCACGCTCTGGGCTCCCAGGGCTCCCCTGTATCCCAACAGCCAGATGGAACAGCATTTGGTCCCTCCTGGAGTATTGGGAGGCTTAGAGCTAAGGAGTAATGTCAGCCAGAGGCAGGAGATCTGATTCCAGTTCTGTAACCTCAGTTTTCTCATCTGGGAAATGGGAAAGTAGCCAGGCTTGTAGTGTTGTTTCAACCAACAGGGATGAGATATACAGATGCCTGCATGCCGGAAATTCCACAAGTGATCACTTTATTCCTACTACCGGCACTAAGGCATAAAGTGATGTGCTGTTTAGAAATACACAAGTAGCGGCTGGGTTCGGTGGCTCAGTCTGTAATCCCACGCTTTGGGAGGCTGAGGTGAGTGGATGGCCCGAGCCCACGGGTTCGAGACCCGCCTGGGCAACTTGGCGAGACCTCGTCTCTACAATAAATCAAAAATCAGCCGGGCGTGGTAGCGCACGCCTGTAGTTCCGGCTACTCGGAAGGCTGAGGCGGAAGGGTCGCCGGAGCCCAGCAGGTCCAGGCTGCGGTGGCCGGGAGCGGCCACTGCCCTCCAGTCTGGGCGACAGAGTGAGACTCCAACTCAAAAAAAAAGAAATATACAAGTAGCAAAATTTATACACCTGCAAATTCTTCCCTGTTGCGTGCCCTTGGCAGTGACTGGGTTCTGCCCTCCTCTGCCATATTTCAGCACGTTCATGTTTCTGGGGTAAAAACCAAGGATTCTGCAGCGCCCAGTTTGGAAGTCAGTTTATGCTATTCAGAGAGCTGAGAAATGAACACATTTCAGAGAAATCGTGACGTCATCTTTTCAGCAAAGCCCCCAAGATGATTTGCACAGAGATCAGGAGAAGCCCCAGGGAGGAATCAGAGGGAGGAACGAACGAGTGGCCGCTGTGTGGCTGCCTCATTCCGAGACAGCCCCTCTGGCCTCATGTCCACACTGGCAACTGGGGAGGGGAGAGACAGGCCAAAAGGATGGGTGGGGGCGGGGTATGAAACCCGGGAATACAGCGCCACCTCGGAAGGCTCTGGAACGGGGCCCTCGGAGGATGCCGGGGACCCCATGCCAGGGAGGTGCCGGACTCCACTTCTCCCTCCGTGTTTCCGCTGTCTTCTGTCTCTCAAGACCAGCGTTCTCTCCCTCCTCTCTGGTCCACGGGTGGCTTGAGGTCGCCCCCAAAGCCCCAGATTGCCCCTGTCAGCCCTGCCCAGCGCTGACTCGACATTCCACCCATGCCCACCTCCCTCGAAGGGCAACACAGTTGGGTCAGGTGCCCACCCTGGTCTCATCAGCAGTCTCCCACTCCAGGGACGGGAGGAAGATTGCTGGGGGTGGGGGTGGAGGACCGTTCCCATGAGCATCTTCTCCAAGATGTTTTAGGGCACTTAGTGACATCAGGGTTGTAACTGATCAGAATAATCAGGGCGAAATACATGTAAACATCTCAGGTCAGGCGATGAGGACGGACCAGAGAGATGTGACCTGGGTTGGGAGGGGAATTGGTGGGTGTTTTGTTTATTTGTTTGTTTTTGAAAGGCTTGCTTCCACTCGCCAGCCAATGCGCTGGCTCTGCTCCTCCCCTCTTCCCAAACGAAAACCTTCTAGAATCGGTCAAGTCATACAAACATGGGAGGGGTGGGCACAGCAGTGGCAAGAAGTGGGCACAGCAGCGGCTGTGGATGAGAGTGGGGCAAGCAACGACCCAGAGAAAAGTCTGGAAGGGCTCAGTGCCAAACTGCGTCTGCTGCACCCTGCTCACGGCCACCACAGCCTCGACCTGCTGGGCTCCGGCGATCCTTCCGCCTCAGCCTTCCATAATTTTTTTATGAGTTGAAAACGTACGGCAGGCACAGCAGTTCGTGCCTGTCATCCCAGCACTTCGGGAGGCGGAGGCGAGAGGATGGCATGAGCCCAGGCGTTCGAGACCAACCCGGGCAACTTCGAAGCAGATGCCTTCCAAGCAAACCCAAGAGAGCGATGATTTATCATTTCGGTGACTTTGTAGCAAGCTCGTTGTTTATCAAGTCGGTTTTCTTCTTCTTTTTCTCTTTGTTCTTGATATTAACAGGAGTAAGATATTTTGAAGTTTAGACTTTTCCCTCTTTAGGGTAGGCTGACTAAAATGGTTAATTTTTTTTTTTTTTTTTTGAGTTGGAGTCTCACTCTGTCACCCAGACTGGAGGGCAGTGGCACGTTCCTGGCCACCACAGCCTCGACTTGCTGGGCTCTAGCGATCCTTCTGCCTCAGCCTTCCAAGGAGCTGGAACTACAGGCCCGCGCTACCACGCCTGGCTAATTTTTGACTTATTGTGGAGGTGAGGTCTCGCCAAGTTGCCCAGGTGGTCCTTGAACCTGCGGGCTCAGGCAGTCCACTCACCACGGCCTCCCAAAGTGCTGAGCCACCAAGCCCAGCCAATTGTTTTTTTTTTTTAAATCAGTGTCACTCTTTCACCCAGGCTGGAGTGCAATGGCACGCTGCTCAGAGTCACCACAGCCTCGACCTGCTGGGCTCAGGCGATCCTTCCGCCTCAGCCTTCCATAATTTTTTTGTGAATTGAAAATGTACGCCAGACACAGCAGTTCATGCCTGTCATCCCAGCACTTTGGGAGGCGGAGGCGAGAGGATGGCACAAGTCCAGGAGTTCGAGACCAACCTGGGCAACCTGGTGAGACCTCGTTTCCACAATAAATCAAAAACATTAGCCGGGCGTGGTGGCACGCACCTGTAGTTCAAGCTACTTGAAAGGCTGAGGTGGGAGGAACACCTGAGCCCAGGAGGCAGGGGCTGCAGTAGCTGTGAGCGTGGCACTACACTCCAGCCTGGGGAACAGACGCTAACTCAAAAAAAGAAAAAAGAAAGAAAGAAAAGAAGAGAAAATGTATCCCAGAGTCCTTGATTCTCAGAAACAGAAAACAGAAGGAACCTCGGGGTGATCCCAGCTGGCCTCCAACAAAAACCTCTTCTCAGTCCCTGTCTTTGCTTGTATACTTCCAGGGACAGAGAGCTCATTTCTTTTTTTTTTTCAGATGATCCATTCCCCCATCCACCCACTCAAATCAACAGTGCTTGTTAGAACTCAGAGCCCCAAGTCCAAATCTTCCTACTTGTGACTCCCAGACTCTGGTCTGAGAAGAAACCCTGAACCATGCCGGCAATTCGGAAAGAAAACCCCCATGTGGTAATTTACAGAACTGACTGTCACAAGTGTAGGGTGATAACGAATTTTCCCCATCGCTGGCAGCCTAGAATATAAGTGTGTGTCGGTCTCTCTCCCGGTATTTAAAGATGTCGGGAAACTCGAAGATGCCCAGAATAGACTTGCCATCAAACAGCTCATCAAAGAGATTGGGGAGCCCCGAAATTACGGCTTGACGGACGAAGAGAAGGTAGAGGAGGAGCGGAAAGCAGCGGGGGAGCGCCTGGCCAGGGAGGCCGCCGAGGAAGAAGAACGCCAGCGCCACGAGGCCGTGGAGATGGCAGAGCGGGTGGCTCGCTGGGAGGAGTGGGTGAGTGGGGGGCGTGTGTGTCTGCGTGTCGGAGACGCGGGGGGATGCCTGGCCGCGCCATTTGGGCCAGTTCCACTCCCCTCCTGCTCTAGGGAAACGTCCTAGGGATATCCCCAACACGTTTTCGTTTTGGTCACCTGTACCATTTTTTTAAAAAAAGGATAGCCATGTCTTTTGCTTGGTATGAACAAGAGCTAGCCAATGTCAGTAGTATGCATGATACATATCGGCTGGGCGCGGTGGCTCACGCCTGTCATCCCAGCACTTTGGGAGGAGGAGGCGAGAGGGTCACCTGAGCCCAAGGTTCGAGACCAGCCTGGGCAACTTGGTGAGACCTCGTCTGTACAATAAATCAAAAAATTAGCCAGACATGGTGGCATGTGCCTGTAGTTCCAGCTACTTGGAAGGCTGAAGCAGAAGGATCACCGGAGCCCAGCAGGTCGAGGCTGAGGTGGCCGTGAGCATGCCACTACACTCAAGTCTGGGTGACAGAGTGAGTCTCCGACTCAAAAAAAAAAAAAAAAAAAAATTCCTGTAAATGTGTAACCTGTTTTTTACACGCTGACTTTGTGATTTGACTTGATTTTCCTCCATGACCCATCTAATCTGGGTGGTCGGCCTCATTCTACTCCTCCTGAGTCCCTAGATCACTGAGTCTTGTATATGATTCTGCTTCCAAAAAGAGCACCCAAGGCGGGCTCGGTGGCTCAGCCTGTAATCCCAGCACTTTGGGAGGCTGAGGTGAGTGGATGGCCTGAGCCCGCGGGTTCGAGACCCGCCTGGGCAGCGAGACCTCATCTCTACAATAAATCAAAAAATCAGCCGGGCGTGGTAACACATGCCTGTAATTCCGGCTCATTGTTTTAATATTCATTTTTGTGATCAATGATTTAATGACTTTTTTACAGACACAAATTTTATTAACATGATCCTGTTGGTTAGGCATTGATGTTTCTATTTGTGTTGTGCCTTTTATTTTTTATTTATGCATTTGTTTTTTTAAAGTGTGCTTTTCTTTTTTGAATTTGAATTTGAATTTTTTTTTGAGTTGAAATCTCACTCTGTCACCCAGGCTGGAGGGCAGTGGCATGCTCCCGGCCACCGCAGCCTTGACTTGCTGGGCTCTGACGCTCCTTCTACCTCAGCCTTCCAAGTAGTTGGAGCTACTAGCACGCACCACCACCATGCCTGGCTAATTTTTTTGATTTATTGTAGAGATGAGGTCTCACCAAGTTGCTCAGGCTGGTCTTGAGCCCTTGGGCTAGGCAATTCTCTCACCTCAACCTCCCAGAGTGTTGGGATTATAGGTGTGAGCCACCATGCCCGGCCTTAATTTTTATTTTTTAAAAAATATTTTAAAGATGTGGGGCACGATTCAGGATTAGGTATATAAATGGACATCACACAGATAAAGTTTGATCCTCCCTTTCGTCCCCACTTTGCCTGATTTAAGATCAGGTACCCTTATTGATGTTGTGTTCCATCCCCCACACCCCAGCTGTATCCCACTACTGTCAATCCCTTTCTCGTAGTATTATGGCCAATGTTCAGGGTCTGCTTATGAGTGAATGTTGCACCTTTTCTCTGTCCACGTTTGGACTATGTGTCTTCTTATTATCTTGCAAGAAGTGATCGAGTCGTTTAATAGAAACAGGAATGGCCCCAGTTTGTCTTCCAAGTCATGCTGCTAGAATACAAATCTCACTCCATGCTTTCTGTAGGTATGTAGTCATGTGCCAGCTACTTTCTGTGTCTCAGTTTTTCCATCTGTAAAATGGGGGTGGTGATAATTCTGCGTAGTGTCACTGTGGTGACTGAAGTGTTCCTATGTAAACTACGTAAACAGTGCCTGGCAAACAGTGTGGACTTGCATAATGTACTTGTACTATCCTAACTTTTTTTTTTTCGAGCTGGAGTCTCACTCCGTCGCCCAGGCTGGAGTGCAGTGGCACGCACCCGGCCACTGCAGCCTCGACCTGCCGGGCTCCGGCGATCCTTCCGCCTCAGCCTTCCAGGTAGCCGGAATGACAGGCGCGTGCTACCACGCCCGGCTCATTTTTTATTTATTGTAGAGACGAGGTCTTGCCAAGTTGCCCGGGCGGGTCTCGAACCCGTGGGCTCAGGCAATCCACTCACCTTGGCCTCCCAAAGTGCTGGGATGACAGGCTGAGCCACTGAGCCTGGCCATACTATCCTAACTTTTTATAAAGTTTTGCTCAATTCATCATTTATCTTTTAACAGTACATATGGTGTTTTCTCTGACCACACAAAAGATTTATGCTTATATGAGGTCAAATCCACCAGTCTTTTTCCCACTTTGATTTCTGGGCTTGCTTCTTGCTGAGAAAGTCTTTCTTTGAAACAAGAGATATCATTTAGGACTCTTTCCTTGCAAGTGACAGAAGAGCAAACTCAAAATGACTCGACGGAAATAGATGGATTCACATAACAGAGAAGTCCTGGGACTTGATAGAGCAGTTCCCATGATGTCCCCAAGTACCTGAGGTTTCTGCTCTGCCTTGCCTGGATGGCTTCTAAGACTCCACCTAACGTGCCTGTCACATCACCCGATGTCCTCAACAAGTACCATGGCCAGGAAGTGGCTTATGTCCCACCGAAACCAAACCACTAGGCTGAGAAGAGAGAGTTCTCAAAGCAAGCCTGGAATTATAATTCCCAAGAGCAAGGGTGGCTATTTGCTAAGAAAGGAATGGCTCATGTCACCACCCCAGTTCCCTCCAGACTTTCTAGTGGCACTTCTGTGATTTCCTTTTTTTTCCCCTCTACTTTGCTTCATCTGGGAAGATAGAAATTACTGTGGTATAAGAACTGAGCTGATTTCTCATTTTCCAAGTGACCCAGCCATTATTCTAACATCACTGACATCTTTTCTCTATGCCTGGAAATGCTGTCTTAGTCTTAAGGTGGTGAGCAGTGTCTAAACGCACGCTGGGGTGAACCGGGGTAGAGTGTTCTTCCCTTTCTAACTGTCCATCGGCTTCACTGCCACATGTTCTATTTGTAGAATAAACGGCTAGAGGAAGTGAAAAGAGAAGAAAGAGAATTGCTGGAGGCCCAGTCTATTCCCCTGAGAAACTATCTAATGACCTACGTTATGCCAACTCTTATGCAGGGTCTGAATGAGTGCTGTAAGGTCAGACCGGAGGATCCCGTTGATTTTCTGGTAAGAAATTTAATTTTTAAAAGATATCTGTTTGAAAAGAAAGTATGCCTGAACCTTAACAGAAAACCAGTTGAGACAGAGAAACTGTGTTTCTGATTATTTGAGAAATAGCTTCTAATACATTCACCTCTTAGAAGTGTTTTTGCCTCATTGGCCAAACCCATATAATAAAGTTTTTATGATTCATGTGTAAGTAAAAAAAAATTATGTACTTTTATTTTTATTTTTGAGTCAGGGACCCGCTTTGCTGCCCAGACTGGAGTGCAGTGGCACAATTACAGCTCACCACGGCCTTGACCTTCTGAGCTCAGGCAATCCTCCTGCCTCAGCCTCCTGAGAAAATGGCAGGGCAGGTGCACCCAGCTTTTGAATTTTTTTGTTTTTTGGGGTTTTTTTTTTTGAGTTGGAGTCTCACTCTGTCGCCCAGACTGGAGTGCAGTGGCCGCTCCCGGCCACCGCAGCCTCGACCTGCCGGGCTCCGGCGATCCTTCCGCCTCAGCCTTCTGAGTAGCCGGAATTACAGGTGTGCGTTACCATGCCCGGCTGATTTTTTGCTTTATTGTAGAGATGAGGTCTCGCTGCCCAGGCGGGTCTCGAACTCCTGGGCTTCCCAAAGTGCTGGGATTACCGGAATGAGCCACTGTGCCTGGACTACTTTTATTTATGTATTTTTATTTTTTATTTTTGTTTATTTATTTTAAGTTGGCGTCTCACTCTGTCGCCCAGGCTGGAGTGCAGTGGCATTCTCACGGCCACCCCAGTGTCGACCTACTGAGCTCAGGCGATCCTTCCACATCAGCCTTCCAAGTAGCTGGAACTACAGGACCTGTGCTACCACCCCCAGCTTCTTTTTTACTTATTGCAGAGTCAAGGTCTCGCCAAGTTGCCCAGGCTGGCCTTGAACCCGCGGGCTCAGGCAATCCACTCGCCTCAGCCTCCCAAAGTGCTGGGATTACAGGCTGAGTCACCGAGTATTTTTATTTTTTAGTAGGAGTCTCACTCTGTTGCCCAGACTTGAGTGCAGTGGCATGTTCATGGTCACGCCAAGTTGCCCCGACTGGTCTTGAACCCCTGGGCTCAGGTAATCCTCTCACCACGGCCTCCCAAAGTGCTGGGATTACAGGCGTGAGCCACCATGCTCGGCTTACTTTTATTTTTAAGTTGTAAACGTTACTCGTATAAATATACGACTAATAGAAAATACTTGCAGATTGTTAACTTCTCTGTTTTTTCTTTCAATTGTAGGCAGAATACCTCTTTAAGAACAATCCTGAAATGCAGTGAAATGTAAAGATCTTGGATCACACACCTTAAAGAGCTAGAGATCAACTTATTGTAATTTGAAAAACTGCTTTTAAAAATGCTTTTTCAGTTTTTGGAATTTTTTTTCTGTAAACAAATATTCTGTAAAGTGGAATCATTATAAAAAACTATATGGTGATGAATGACTATTTAATTAAAACTATATTTGAGGCCCAGTGCGGTGGCTCACGCCTGTCATCCCAGCACTTTGGGAGGCCGAGGCAAGAGGACTGCCTGAGCCTAAGGGTTCGAGACCAACCTGGGCGCTCGGCGCGACCTCATCTCTACAACAAATCAAGAAAAATTAGCTGGGCGTGTTGGCGCATGCCTGTAGTTCCAGCTACTTGGAAGACTGAGGCAGAACTACAGGCATGTGCCACCACGCCTGGCTAATTTCTGATTTCTTGTAGAGATGAGGTCTCGCCAAGTTGTGCGGGCTGGTCTCAAACCCCTGGATTCAGGCAGTCCTCTTGCCTTGGACTTCCAAAGTGCTGAATGACAGGCGTGAGCCGCTGTGCCTGGTGTGTTTGTTTTTTAAATGGCAATTATAGTGCGTGGGAAGTAGGTATCATATTGGGACGGAGCATTTGTTAGTGTGCTTGCTGGCTATTTAGGTACCTTCCCTGGAGAGATGGAGAGGCCCACCTTGGAGATATTGCAGGTTGCTTACAGATCACCACAACAAAGCAAATATTGGCTCACACAAATTTTTTTGGTTTCCCAGTGCATAGAAGAGTTATATTTACACTATCCTGTAGCCGATTAAGTGTTCAATATTATTATATCTTAAAAACGTACATAGCTTAATTAAAAATAACGGCTGCTAAAAAATGTGAATGCTAAAATGTTCATCTGAGTCTTCAGTGAGTTGTCATCTTTGTGTTGGTGGAGCGTCTCGCCTTGGTGTTGACGGCTGCTGACTGATCAGGTCGGCGACTGCTGAACGCTGGGGTGGCCATGGCAGTTTCTTGAAGCAGACAACAGTGAAGTCGGCCATATGGATTGACTCTTTCTACAGTGAAAGAGTTCCCTGTAGCACTCCACGCTGCTTGATAGCATTTAACCCACGTTAGAACTCCTGTCAGCTGGGCGCGGTGGCTCACGCCTGTCATCCTAGCACTTTGAGAGGTAGAGGCAAGAGTCTTACCTGAGTCCACGGGTTTGAGACCAGCCTGGACAACCTGGTGAGACCTCATCTCTACAAGAAATCAAATACTAGCCAGACGTGGCGGTGCATACCGGTAGTTCAGCCACTTGGAAGGCTCAAGTGGAAGACTTGCCTGAGCCCAGCAGATCCAGGCTGTGGTGGCTGTGAGCATGCCACCACACTCCAGCCTGGGCGACAGAGTGAGACCATGACTCAAAAAAAGAGAACTTCTTCCAAAATTAAGGTCAATCCTCTCAAACCCTGCCACTGCTTTATCAACTAAGTTTATGTAATATTCTTTTTTTTTTTTTTATCTGCCCAAAGTGCTTCTTCACTGTTTATATATTAAGAGAAGCCATTTCTTAGCCCACATATTCATGCGTCATAGTTCAGGAACACAAGTCAGTGACACGCTGCTCTGTAATTTGTTGGCACTCTGAAAGATATCCGTCTTCTTCATTTCAAAATCTCTCAGGGAATCAATTTCTGCAGAAGTCTCGGCAAGCCTTCTTCCTTGGCTTAAAGACAGCCAAAACCCCCAGGGATACCACAAAGGTCCTAACACCATGAGACTGCAGGCCCTTACCCAGAAGGCCCTGTCAAGCACGGAAGCCATGGTAGTTACCATCCTCAGTTGGTATGTCAACCGCAGCGCCAACGTCCTTCTTGGTGGGTGGCTGACACCACTTCCACGGCGTGCAGGTGCAGAAGAAGAGTGGGTGAGAGGACCCCAGTGTATGTAATATTCAAAACCCTTTGCTGTTATTCCAACAGTGTTCACGGCGTCTTCCCCAGGAATAGATTCCATCTCAAGAAACCACTGTCTCTGCTCATCCAAAAGAAGCAACTTGGCATCTGTTCCAAGTGTTATCATGAGACTGTGGCAATTCAGTCACATCTTTAGTCTCCACTTGTTGTTGTTGTTTTGTTTGTTTTTTTGAGTTGGAGTCTCACTCCATCGCCCAGGCTGGAGCGCAGTGACACACTCACGGCTACTCCAGCGTCAACCTGCTGGGCTCCCACGATCCTTCCACCTCAGCCTTCCAAGTAGCCGGAACTACAGGTGCATGCCACCACGCCTCGGCTAAAATTTTTTTTATATATTGTAGAGACGAGGCCTCGCCAGGTTGCCCGGGCAGGTCTCGAACCCGCGGGCTCAGGCAATCCACTCGCCTTGGCCTCCCAAAGTGCTGGGATGACAGGCTGAGCCACCGAGCCTGGCCTCCATTTGTGTTTTTGAGTCAGGGTCTCACCCTGTCACCCAGTCTCGAGTGCGGTGTCCTCCAGCTTCCTTCCACTCGGCCTCCCAAGTAGCTGGGACTACAGGCAGGCACACCTGGTTAATTTGTCTCACTGTCGCCCAGGCTGGAGCGCAGTGGCTCGCTCACAGCCACCGCAGCCTTGACCTGCTGGGCTCCGGCGATCCTTCCGCCTCAGCCTTCCAAGTAGCTGGAACTACAGGCACGTGCCACCATGCCCAGCTAATTTTTTGATTTATTGTAGAGACGTGGTCTCGCCAAATTGCCCAGGCTGGGTTAGAACCCATGAGCTCAGGCAGTCCTCTCACCTCAGCCTCCCAGAGTGCTAGGATTATAGGCATGAGCCACCGTGCCCAGCCAAGAAGACATATTTTGAATCTTTTTTTCTGAGCAGTAAGTCTCAACAGTGAGCTTAAAATATTCAGTAAACTACACTGGGTGGTGGCCTGTAGTCCCAGCTACTTGGGAGGCTGAGGTAGGAGGATCACTTGAGTTCAGGAGTTCGAGGCCATAGTGCACGAGGATCACACCTATGAATAGCCACTGCAATCCAGCTTGGGCAACATAGGGAGCCCTGTCTCTTTCTGTTTTTTTTTTTTGAGTTGGAGTCTCACTCTGTCGCCCAGGCTGGAGGGCAGTGGCATACTCATTGCCACCCCAGGGTCAACCTGCTGGGCTCCAGCAATCCTTCTGCCTCAGCCTTCTAAGTAGCCGAAACTACAGGTGCACGCTACCATGCCCAGCTAATTTTTTGATTAATTGTGGAGAAGAAGTCTCACCAAGTTGCCCGGGCTGGTCTCGAACCTGCAGGCTCAGGCAATTCACTCACTTCGGCCTCTCAAAGTGCTGGGATGACAGGCTGAACTGCTGAGCCTGCCACCCACCCCCCTTTTTTTTTTTTGAGTCAGAGAGTCTCACTCTGCCACCCAGGCTGGAGTGTAGTGGCATGCTCATGGCCACTGTAGCCTCAACTTGCTGGGCTCAGGTGATCCTTCTGCCTCAGCCTTCCAAGCAGCTGGAACCACAGGGTGTGCACCACCACACCTAGCTAATTATTTTTTTAAATTTATGCTACAGACAAGGTCTCGCCAAGTTGACCAGGCTGGTCTCGAACCCCTGGGCTCGGACAATCTTCTTGCCTCGGCCTTCCAAAATGTTGGGATGACAGGTGTGAGCCACCATAACTGGCACCCCGACTCTAAAAAAAAAAATTAGTAAATCATGCTGTAAACAGATATGCTATCATCTGGGTTCCATTGTTCCATTTACAGAGCACAGGCAGAGTAGATAAGTCAGAAGGGTTTTAGGACTGGCAAATAAGCATTGGCTTCAACTTAAAGTCACCAATTGCATTAGCTCTTAAAAAGCAAGACAGCCTGTGTTTTGGTTTTTTTGTTTGTTTTGAGTTGGAGTCTCACTAAAGGCTGGAGTGCAGTGGCACAATCCCAGCTCACTGCAGCCTCGACCTCCTGGACTCAGGACATCCTTCCATCTCAGCCTCTAGAGTAGCTGAGACTGTAGGCGTGTGCCACCTAGTTAATTCTTTCATGTTTTGTAGAGGTGAGATCTCGCTGTGTTGCCCAGGTTAATGTTGGCCTCAGACAATCCTCCCTCCTCAGTCTCCCTAAGTACTGGGATTATAGGCATAAGCTACCATGTCTGGTGGTCTTTCCACACTTTGAAGATAAGCACTGACTTCTCTTCTCTAGCTGGGAAAGTCCTAGATAGCATCTTCTTCCAATAGAGGGCTGTTTTGTTTCCGCTGAAACTCTTGTTAGGACAGCCACCTTCATCAGTGTTCTTCCCTAGACCTCCTGGATCACTTGTTGCAGCTTTGATGTCAGCAATTTTAAGTTGTGGAGACCGATTCTTTTCTTAACCCTCATGAACCAACCTTTGCTAGCTTCCGTTTTTCTTCTGCAGCTTCCTCACCTATGTCAGCCTTCATAGGATTGAAGCGAGTTAGGACCTTGCTCTGGATTAGATTTTGGCTTAAGGGAATATCACAACTGGTGTGATCTTCTCTCTAGATCAGTGGTTCCCCAACCCTTTTGGCATTAGGGACTGGTTTCGTGGAAGATAATTTTTCCCACAGACCAGGGAAGGCGGTGGTTTCAGGATGATTCAAGAGAATAACATTTATTGTGACCTTTATTTCCATTACTATTACATTGCAATATATAATGAAATAGTTAAACAACTCACCATAAAAGTAAGAGGTGCAAACGGAAGTGGTAAATAAAACAATAGGCACGCCACGCACGGACTCAAATAAGTGTCGGATTCTGACTTAAAGCCTGATGCAGCTGTGCAATTGAAGTCCATCAACTCACTGGCCACGCCCTGAGAGGGATTTGATATGAGTCTGCAGGAAATTGATTTATAGGGTCTCTGTGCAGTCAAACCTCACTGCTCCTATTAATCTGGATTTGCAGCCACTCCCCAGGGCTGGCATCACCGCCTCAGCTCCACCCGGGATCACCAGGCATTAGATTCTCAAAAAGAGCATGCAACCTAGATCCCTCACATGCGCAGGTCACCATAGGGTTCCCGCTCCTTTGAGAACCTAATGCCGC